GTGCGCCTGCAGCGACAGGCATCGCTGCTCGCCGGGCGGCCAACGCGCCGGGCGGGCCACCATCTTGTTCACTTCCTACTGTCACGAGTCGTCACCCGTAGCCCCGCGCGAAACGAGATTTGCATGCCTCGTGCAAGCCGGCACTCCCCACTGCCTCCTCGTCTGCCAACGACGCGCAGGCGCAACCCCCGGGACGCTCAAGGAGCGGCACAGACCTGCAATCCTCATCACTGCAGCAGCCGTCCCACCAGCAACAGTCACAACAGCAGCGGCATCAGCAGCAGCCGTCACAGCAGCAGCAGCACCAGCACCAGCACCAGCACCAGCACCAGCAGCAGCAGCACCAGCAGCAGCACCAGCAGCAGCAGCACCGCTTTGCGGACAGCGGCAACTTGGGGGCCGGCGGGGCGGCTGCGGCTGTCACCCAGGAGGCCGAGGAGGGGGTGGGCACTGCCAACGATGAACATGGCGAATCTGAGGAGTGGGGCCAGCTGGTGCAACAGATGCGGCGCCAGCAGCAGGAGCAGCAGCAGCGGCGCCAGCAGCAGGAGGGGCCGCAGCACGGCGCCGCCGGGCGCGGCGGGCACAGCAGACCCGCAGGCGGCGCCGCCGTCGAGTGGGGCGACGGGCGGCGCGGGCCGTGGTCGCCCATGCCCGCCGCGGGCGTGCGGTGGTCGCCGCAAGTGGGCGCCAGTGAGGATGGCGGCGGCGGCGCCGGCGGCGCGTCGAAGCAAGCCGAGTCACTACCGGTGGGTTGTGGGGGCCGGGTGGAGGGGGCCGTGAGCACGGGCGACGAAAATGCGGAGCTCAACACTCTGGCGATCATGCCGCCTGTCAGCAGCAGCTGGCACAACAAGCGGTCGCTGACCCACCTGATTGCGCGGATGGAGGAGCAGCTGCAGCTGGAGGAGCAGGAGCAGGAGCAGGAGCGGGGGGCGGACGAGGCGGTTTGATAAATCTGAAATGAACCTCCATGAACTTCCCATGCCTTGAATTGTCTTGAAATTCGAATTCACAAAGTTTAGGGGCCGTCCCATTTACCCATTCCTGTACGACCATCATTGTGTTGCACGATGATGTAGGGATTTGCCTGACATGATGGGCCCGCTTCACGGTCGCAGTTTCTGCTAAAAATGTGAAATTAGCTAGCCAGGCGCTGGCCCTCGGATGTGTGATGACGTGTGATTGGGGCCCGGCAGATATCCCGCCAAATCGGCGCCATCCTGGGTTAGTACCTACGTGAGTGGATGCACCCACCCAGGATCCCATGCACACACAAGCACTTGCGAGCGCGTGACAAACAGTGTATCATGTTCCATTTCCATCACCTGCACATACGAGTGCAAATTGTCACGCATCATATTGCTCGGGATGCCGAACGGGGAACAGCCTCCGGCCTGGGCTGCCAGCTGTGACGCCTCCATGATGCCCTGTACGCTCTTGCTTTCAGCGGGCTTTATTGCAATACAGTAGAAAGGATTCTGGATTGTTGTTCCGCGCCTTTACATTTTCAAGAAAGCCCAGCAGCCAGCACGCTTGCTTTGCACGGTGCATGGGTGCGGGTGCAAATCATCGGGTTACCTTATGCGCCGGACGGTCAAACTAGAGCGCTGACAACTATTTAATTTAAAGGAGCACTATGGTGCTGCAAAAGCTAAAGCGGGCGCTTTCGACGTCTGCTGAGACGCGGCGGGCCGCTACAGCTCCGAAGGAGCAATTTATAGCGCAGTTTCAGAGCGTGCCCCCGACCTTTGTCAAGCCACAGGCCGCGCAGCCCCAGCCCGAGGTCAAGGAGTCTGATGTCGAGTGAGACCTCCTCCGACGACGCGCACGCCAAAACATGCACTATTGAAAGGGAACGTGCAAGGCCTCGTTTCTTATTCGGAGTGCGAAGAAGCCCCGCGCGCGCTTGCTCGTCGCCGCACGCGAGTTGCCGGCGCCTGCGGACGGCGTGTGTGATGTGGGTCGAAACAACACTGACGGTCCTGTACCCAGCCCCTACCCCCTGCACACATTCTTCGTAGGCCATACAGCACCCGGGACCAGGTCTCGGACCGGCCTGCCGCCCAGAACAGTGTGCCGCCGGACCAAAGCTCCTCAACAGAGGCCGGGCCTGGCACTGCAGATGACGTGGAGGGCGGCGGCGGCGAGGTGGAGCAGGCGGACGGCCAGTCAGAGGCAGTGGGCGAGACCGAGCACGAGATCCAGGCCGCGCCCATAGACGTTCCCGAGGATGCTGCGCCGCAGGCAGGCGGCGAAGGGCAGGAGACGGGGGCGCAAGCGGCTCCGGAGGTGGTGGAGGAGGTGCACGTGGTGGCGCCGACGGAGCCCGCCGCGGCAGACGCAGCAGCCGCCCGCGCCGCGCTGTCCGCCGCGATTGAGGAGGCGGAAGCCACTGCGGCGGTCGCGCTCCCTCGCGCGCACAAAGAGGCGGCAGCCCCAGAGGGAGCCTATGGCAGCGGCGGCGGCGGCGGCGGCGGCGGCGGCGGCGGCGGCAGCGGCGGGGGCGGCGG